ACTACTACTAGTGACGACTTTAACTACTACTACTCCTACTACTACGACTAGAACTTACTACTACTACTACTACTTACTACGACTACGACTACGACTACGACTACGACTACGACTACGACTACGACTACGACTACGACTACTACTACTACTACAACTACTACAACTACCACAACTACTACAACTACTACTACTACTACTACTACTACTACTACTACTACTACTACTACTACTACTACTACTACTTCTACTACTACTACTACTACTACTACTACTAGTAATACTACTACTACTACTACTACTACTACTACTACTACTACTACTACTACTACTACTACTACTACTACTACTACTACTACTACTACTACTACTACTACTACTACTACTACTACTACTACTACTACTACTACTACTACTACTACTACTACTTACTAACCACGACTACTACCACCACCAGTACTACTACTACTACTACTACTACTACTACTACTACGACTACTACGACTACTACTACTACTACTACTACTACTACGACTACTACTACGACTACTACTACTACTACTACTAATACTACTACTACCACTACTACTACTACTACTACTACTACTACTACTACTACTACTACTACTACTACTACTACTACTACTACTACTACTACTACTACTACTACTACTACTACTACTACTACTACTACTACTACTACTACTACTACTACTACTACTACTACTACGACTACGACTACTACTACTACTACTACTACTACTACTACTACTAGTCGTACTAGTACTACAAATTATACTACTGCTACTAGTCCCACCACTACTACTACTACTACTACTACTACTACTACTACTACTACTACTACTACTACTACACTACTACTACTACTACTACTACTACTACTACTACTACTACTACTACTACTGCTGCTACCTATGCTGCTGCTACTACGACGACTTCTACTACGACTATTACTGCGACTACGGCTACTACAACATGCTTACCCTGCGACGTACCCAACCCAACGTGCATCAAGTCGCAAGAGGAGTAGGCCAGCATTAGCGGGAACAGCGACAGTGTAGACGCTGTGAATTGCTGCGCAAATTACATGGGATGCGCATGCGTTGCACGACTCACAGAACAACGATCGAAAAAAACGAGGATTGAGGCCCCAGGCTAGAAGAATAACGGGGACAAGAACGAGGGGCAGGAGAAGGATGGAATGGGGGGCAACCTGAATTTGCGCATGACGTCACTCCGCTGCCCCCCCCCCCCCCAGCAGCCGTCGAAAGTGGCGACAGGCTCGCAGATCGCAGTCCCCCCAGGGCTGGCGAGGTCTAATCTGGATCTGCGCATGACCCCACTCCGCTGGGCCCCCCAGCAGCCCTCGAAAGTGGTGACAGCTTCGCAGATCGCAGACCCCCAGGGATGGCGAGGTCTAATCCGAATCTGCGTATGACCCCACTCCGCTGCCCCCCCCCAGCAGCCCTCGAAAGTGGCGATAGGCTCGCAGATCGCAGTCCCCCCAGGGCTGGCGAGGTCTAATCTGGATCTGCGTATGACGTGACTCCGCTGCCCCCCCCCCCCCCCCAGCAGCCCTCGAAAGCGGTGACAGTTTCGCAGATCGCAGCCCCACAGGGATGGCGAGGTCTAATCCGAATCTGCGTATGACGTGACTCCGCTGGGCCCCCAGCAGCCCTCGAAAGTGGTGACAGTTTCGCAGATCGCGAACCCCCAGGGATGGCGAGGTCTAATACGAATCTGCGTATGACCCCACTCCGCTGGGCCCCAGCAGCCCTCGAAAGTGGTGACCGTTTCGCAGATCGCAGCCCCCCAGGGATGGCGAGGTCTAATCTGAATCTGCGTATGACCCCACTCCGCTGGGCCCCCCAGCAGCTCTCGAAAGTGGCGACAGTTTCGCGGATCGCAGCCCCCCAGGGATGGTGAGGTAGGAGGCAAATTGGCACGCAGGAGCGAGCGAGGTAGGAAGCCGGGGGGGAGAGGAGAGTAGGAGGGGGCAGGAGAGGAGAGGAGAGAGCAGACGCGACCGCAGCTGCTCTATTCAAAACGAGAACCCAACGCAGGAGGGTTGGGAATAATAATTATCCTGGCGAAAGACCCAACCATAAGCAATTGTTGGTAACGCGTTGTGGGTGCCGCTTTCGGTGGGGCTCCATATGGGGCCACGAAGCGCTGCCTTGGATGGGGGAACCGCATGCGGACTGCGCCACCGGGGCGGGCCTTCGGTGGAGCTCCCTATGGGGCTACGAAACGCTGCCCTGGGTGGGGGAACCGCATGCGAACTGCGCCACTGGGGCCTTCGGTGGAGCTCCCTATGGTGCCACGAAACGCTGCCCTGGGTTGGGGGAAGCGCATGCGAACTGCGCCACGGGGGCTTTCGGTGGAGCTCCCCATGGGGCCACGAAGCGCTGCCCTGGGTGGGGGAACCGCATGCGAGAGCAGCCACTGGGGCCTCCGGTGGAGCTCCCTATGGGGCCACGAAACGCTGCCCTGGGTGGGGGAACCGCATGCGAACACCCCCACTGGGGCCTTCGGTGGAGCTCCCTATGGGGCTACGAAACGCTGCCCTGGGTGGGGGAACCGCATGCGAACACCCCCACTGGGGCCTTCGGTGGAGCTCCCTATGGGGCTACGAAACGCTGCCCTGGGTGGGGGAACCGCATGCGAACACCCCCACTGGGGCCTTCGGTGGAGCTCCCTATGGGGCCACGAAACGCTGCCCTGGGTGGGGGAACCGCATGCGAACACCCCCACTGGGGCCTTCGGTGGAGCTCCCTATGGGGCTACGAAACGCTGCCCTGGGTGGGGGAACCGCATGCGAACACCCCCACTGGGGCCTTCGGTGGAGCTCCCTATGGGGCCACGAAACGCTGCCCTGGGTGGGGGAACCGCATGCGAACACCCCCACTGGGGCCTTCGGTGGAGCTCCCTATGGGGCCACGAAACGCTGCCCTGGGTGGGGGAACCGCATGCGAACACCCCCACTGGGGCCTTCGGTGGAGCTCCCTATGGGGCTACGAAACGCTGCCCTGGGTGGGGGAACCGCATGCGAACACCCCCACTGGGGCCTTCGGTGGAGCTCCCTATGGGGCCACGAAACGCTGCCCTGGGTGGGGGAACCGCATGCGAACACCCCCACTGGGGCCTTCGGTGGAGCTCCCTATGGGGCTACGAAACGCTGCCCTGGGTGGGGGAACCGCATGCGAACACCCCCACTGGGGCCTTCGGTGGAGCTCCCTATGGGGCCACGAAACGCTGCCCTGGGTGGGGGAACCGCATGCGAACACCCCCACTGGGGCCTTCGGTGGAGCTCCCTATGGGGCCACGAAACGCTGCCCTGGGTGGGGGAACCGCATGCGAACACCCCCACTGGGGCCTTCGGTGGAGCTCCCTATGGGGCCACGAAACGCTGCCCTGGGTGGGGGAACCGCATGCGAACACCCCCACTGGGGCCTTCGGTGGAGCTCCCTATGGGGCCACGAAACGCTGCCCTGGGTGGGGGAACCGCATGCGAACACCCCCACTGGGGCCTTCGGTGGAGCTCCCTATGGGGCCACGAAACGCTGCCCTGGGTGGGGGAACCGCATGCGAACACCCCCACTGGGGCCTTCGGTGGAGCTCCCTATGGGGCCACGAAACGCTGCCCTGGGTGGGGGAACCGCATGCGAACACCCCCACTGGGGCCTTCGGTGGAGCTCCCTATGGGGCCACGAAACGCTGCCCTGGGTGGGGGAACCGCATGCGAACACCCCCACTGGGGCCTTCGGTGGAGCTCCCTATGGGGCCACGAAACGCTGCCCTGGGTGGGGGAACCGCATGCGAACACCCCCACTGGGGCCTTCGGTGGAGCTCCCTATGGGGCTACGAAACGCTGCCCTGGGTGGGGGAACCGCATGCGAACACCCCCACTGGGGCCTTCGGTGGAGCTCCCTATGGGGCTACGAAACGCTGCCCTGGGTGGGGGAACCGCATGCGAACACCCCCACTGGGGCCTTCGGTGGAGCTCCCTATGGGGCCACGAAACGCTGCCCTGGGTGGGGGAACCGCATGCGAACACCCCCACTGGGGCCTTCGGTGGAGCTCCCTATGGGGCAACGAAGCGCTGCCCTGGGTGGGGGAACCGCATGCGAGCACCCCCACTGGGGCCTTCGGTGGAGCTCCCTATGGGGCTACGAAACGCGTGAGAGGTGTGCCGAGAGCAGAGGCAAGGAGGAGGAGGGGGAGGAGGAAGGAGGAGGGGAACGCGGGGCACCGTCTCTTCAAAACGAGGACCCAACACCACAGGATGGTTGGGAAAAAACAGCGCCGACGACAAATACTACTACTAGTATTCCACGGTCTTGATCTCTCCTCCTCATCCTCCTCCTCCTCCTCCTCTTCCTCCTCCTCCTCCTCCTCATCCTCCCCCATCTCCTCAAAGCCTGCTCCACCCTCTTCCTGTGCTTCTCTCAATCTTTCCCCGTTCCCCCCTGGGCCTCGCCTTCCCCTCTCCTCCCCCCCCTCCCAGCATCCCTCCTCGTTCCTCGTTCTTCTTCCTCCTCCTCCTCCTCCTCCTCCTCCTCCTCCTCCTGCTGCTCCCATTGGGGTTGCATCCTGCGTAGGGCGACTGCCGCTGCGGCCCGACCTGCCCACCCTCCTCCCCCTCCCCTGGGGCCCCGCGCCCCGTCACGGAGACGTGCGCCCGTGGCCGAGGCTCGGGCCGGGCAGTCGCGCGCAAGCACGAGAGGCGGGAAGTCATGCACGTCAACCGCCTGGGGAGCCGAAATCCCGGGTGGAGGAGGAGGAGGAGGAGGAGGAGGAGGAAGAGGAGGAGGAGGAGGAGGCGGAGGAGGCGGGGGATATGGACACGTGTGGGCCCCAGGGGGCCCCAATGCATCCATATCCACCGACTGCCGATGCCCCGACGATCGATCCCCCGAGCGGCATTCGTGGATGACTGGATCCCCGCCTCGGGATGTGAGGCTTCCCCCCGCCGAGAGCGCCTGGTGACCTTCGCAGCGTCCTCGTAGGAGAGCACCGGCTTGCCCGTCTCCTCCCCCAGGGAAAAAACAAATCTGCGACCCGAGGAGGAGCAGCAGAAGCAGGATAGAGGCGGCGAAGGAGGGGCGGAGGGAGGAGGCCGAGGAGCAAGGAGGGCGGGGAGGGATAAGGGAGGACGATGCGAATGGATAAAGATGCGGAAGCGAGGCGTGGGACGAAGAGGCAGAGGAAGGGGCGGAATGCGGACAGGAAGGACAACGAGGCAGAAAGGAGCGAGGAGATGCCGGAAGGAGGAGCAGAAGGGAGTCCGAGAGGAGAGAAAAGAGGGGAGACGCCGCGAGGGGCCGGGGGAGTAAAGAGGACTGCTCTCCAGGGTCTCCTCCTCCTCCTCCTCCTCCTACTCCTCCTCCTCCTCCTCCTCCTGCTCCTCCTCCTTCTCCTCCTCCTCCTCCTCCTGCCCCTCCTCCTCCTCCTCCTCCCCCGAAACGTTCCTTGTTCACGCGGTTGTGCAGGTCGACCATCCAGCGGACCACGTCCTCGCGGGAGCCCAGGTGAGACGCCAGGGGGTCCTGCGCCAGGTGCCTCCGCAGGTTGCTGCCGCACGGCCTCGTCGGGAGGGCCAGGAGGCAGACCGGAGGAGGGAGAGGGCCGTGGCGGCGCGTAGAGGGGGGGAAGAGGGACGGGGGAAGGCTTCTTAGAAGCAGCCCTGCCTCTTAGAAGGCGCGGGCCTTGTCTGTAGATGTAGGGCCGGCGCCTTCTAAGAAGCAGCCTCCTTCTAAGAAGCCTTCCCCCCTCCTCCGACTCCCTTGTGCGCGCCGCCAAGGGTCAGAAGGAAAGTTAGCGAGGGAAACCTGCTCACCAAGGGGGGGGGGGAGGATCGACCCGGAATCGGCAGATCATTCCCGAATCATCGGAGATAGACAAGCGCCCGACTGCAGATCCGCACGTTCGTGCGCGGGGTGGGGTGGGTGGGTGGGTGGGCGGGTGGGTGGGGTGGGTGGGGTGGGGCGAATGGGGCCCCTGTCGGCGGTTGGGTGGGTGGGTTGGGGTGGGCGAGTTGGGGGTCGATGCGTCCCACCCTCCGCCTGTCCCCACCGAACACTGCCCACGAACTCTTGCTCCGGCCCCTCGTGGCTTGGCTCTTGGGCCGTACTTGCATCTCGCGCCTCTTGGGGGTCGTTGGTGACAATCTGGCCACCCCCACAATGTCGGGGGCGGCCAAGAGGGGGGTGTCCAAGAGGGGGGGGGGGGGGGGGGGCACATCATGGCCAGCGGCATGCGCGCGGCACAGGGGGAGGGGCAGGGACGTATTGAAACAAGAAGGGGCGCCATGAAATTTGGGGAGATATCATGGCCCCCGCCATGAGATTCACCCCCCCAGTCATCACCCCCCTCTTGGCCGCCCCCGAGAATGCCCTGGGCGAGGCGCAGCGGCTGGACGGCAGCAGCCCGAGGCCGGCACGCACGCCGGACGAGAAGCGACGGGCCCGCCCGCGAGGGCCTCGAGCCTCCAGCGCGTGCCCCGCGGAGGGGAAGGGCCTCCGCTGGGGGGGCTTGGGCGTGGCTTCGTGGGGGGGTCACAAATGGGGGGGTCAGAACAGGTCCCCTTTCGTGTCCCTTTCGGGCCCCTCCAGAGCCCCAGGGGGCTCGTTTAGGCACCGTTTGGGTGCCTTTTCGGACCACGCTCGCCACCCCCCCATTTATGACCCCCCCATTACGCGGCGCCCAAGGGGCCAGCCAAACGGCACGACCGGGCGGGCCTCCGCGCCTCTGAGGTCTCCATGGGGGGGGGGAAGAGCTCCAGCCTCGCGGGCCTCTGAGGTCCGCCGTGGGAGCACGCAGGAGGCCTCCCCGCGGGGGCTCGTCGGGGGGGCCTCGAGGCGCCCCGCCCAGCGCAGTCCTTGGCGCCAGGTCCCCGACTGCGCATCCTCCTCTCCGGGTGGGGCGGAGGAAGAGGAGGAGGAGGCGGAGGCGGAGGAGGAGGAGGCGGAGGAGGAGGAGGCTTGGCCCGCAGGCGTGTGTCAAGCAGGCCGGGGTAGTGGAAGAAATGTGCTACTGACGTGACAGAGAGAAGGAGAAAGACGAGGAGGGTGAGGGGGGGGAGGTGGAGGATCGAGGGCGTTGCACATTTTCGGCCCTTTCTGGGACTCCCGGGATTTCGGAGGGGACCTTGGCGGGGACCCCAGAGGTGGAGGGAGGTCCCCGCCAGCTCAGTCGCACACGGTGTGTACACAGGTCGCCCGACTTCACGCTCCGCACCGCGAAATGCGGGAATTGTGAGCAGTCGCGTTATCACGACGGTCTCTGGAGAACAGCACATCTCCAGCCCGAAACGTCGAGCGCGACTGTCTTCGTGCCACTGCGGGTGATATACTGCAGGTGCTTGCACATCTGCGGGTCCGCGTCAGTGTGTCTGTATGCCTTGCTGCATGTGTGTGTGGGGGGGTCAGGTTCCTGGTGATAGCACTCGCACGGTTTCGCGCGGCGCAACACTTCGATCCTCCCTTCGAGCAACTGCGCTCTACCTCGTCGTCGGACACCTCCGCCTCAACGCATGGGTGGAGGGCGTGCATGCGCGAAACCTATGTGCTTTGTTTTTTGTTCGGGTGTTCTTGAAATCAAAGCAAGTTCCGAGGCATTCGACAAGCTGCTTCACCTCCTGCTGTTCATGGGAGGGGAGGATCGCGTCCAGGAGGGAGAAATGGACTGAGTGTGGAGTGCAAGGTGGATCTACGACTTCGGACGAGCCCCAACGGGGGCTAAGAAAGATGGGGTTGGACCGTTCGTCTCCGGTTGGCCCGTCCGACATGGATACGGACAAAATAAATGCGGAACAATCACGAGTGTGATTCAAAACCGACAACGGCCGCTGTTGGGAGGCGATTCCTTGTCTCAAGTGGACAACATCCGTAGAAAGCATGTCAGCGAATCCTGTTAAAATTGACACACACTGGTGCCGCCTGCGTCCTAATTCTATATGTGCCTGTTTCGATCGTACCGATCCCTTTCCAGCCCCTGCACAGCAGAGGGATTGCCCAACCCTATCTGCGTGTGTAACTCTTCAGCGCGTGAGCCCACAGCCCTCACGACCACATTCCCTGCGACTTGACCTTCACCGCGGGTTGTGTTGAGCACTTGTGCTGACCGCCCAGACATCGAAAAACGGGCCCGCTGGATGCCAAGATCGATGCGGCATGCTCGTCGTGATCCCCTTTGCGACTCCAGGAGGTGTTCGCCCCGCCTTCCCATAGGAGCCATCGGCACCAGCGCCACCATCGCAGGGAGCAGCGGGGGGTCCTCGTGGCAAAGCGTCGCCGTTGCTATATATATATATATATATATATATACATACAGCGTCTCGTGCTCGAGGGGGAGGCATCGTGGGCCTCCCCGCCAAGGGGGGTGGGCCCTGCGTGTGGCGGCGCTGGCGGCGCATACCCTCCTCCATGCCGCTCCGAGCAGGCACCCGTGCACCGTCGGGAGAATCCGAGGGGCGCCCTGACTCGAAAAGGCTGAGGAGCCGGAGCGGCTGCAACGCACCGCCTGCGCAGGGCGCAGAGACGTGCTCGCGTGGAAGCCCTGCGGTCCGGGGGTCGCAGGAGCAACACACAAAAAAACGTCCCTTTTATCCATGCCGAACAGCAGTCGGCCAAGGTTTGCCAGCCTAGACCCCAAACGGCGAGTCCCTGGTGTCTTGGAGGCCCGAGTTATCCGGGGTAACTAGGGTCCAGGGTAACTCGGGTTTGGGTTCCCGAAACACGAACCCGAGTTAGCCCTGACCCGAGTTACCCCTGATGATTTGGGGCTCTGGACGCCCGAGTTATCCGGGGTAACTCGGGCCCGGGGTAACTCGGGTTCGGAATCCCGAAAAACGAACCCGAGTTAACCCTGACCCGAGTTACCCCTGATGATTTCGGGGCTCTGGACGCCCGAGTTATCCGGGGTAACTCGGGTCCGGGGTAACTCGGGTTGGGGCTTCCGAAACACAAACCCGAGTTAGCCCTGACCCGAGTTACCCCTGATGATTTGGGGCTCTGATAGACCGTGAACGGCGAGTCCCGGGTGTCTGGTGTCGCTCCTCTCCTCCTTCGCCGACGCTGAGCGGCTCGACGCCTGCACGGCAGCAGCTCGGGCAGCGACTCCACCAGCGCCTCGAAGCTGCGCTGCGTCTGGGGCGGCAGGCGGGCGGGCAGGTTCCCCGCGATGCAGTGGAGCAGGTTCCACGCCTCGGGGGGGGGAGGAGGAGGAGGAGGAGGAGGAGGAGGAGGAGGAGGAGGAGGAGGAGGAGGAGGAGGAGGAGGAGGAGGAGGAGGAGGAGGAGGAGGAGGAGGAGGACGAGAGGGAGAGGAATGCACTTCAGTCATGTTGCAAAATACTCCAGATTTCGTCATAAAAGGGAGGGGGTCACAACCCTCCCAGACCAGAAGTTTTAGACCCCCCCAGACCATCCATGAAAGGGCGGCACTTTGCCCAGACTCCCCCGAACCCTTCAAGACAGCTCAAATCACCCCCCCCCCGCCAAATGTGACCCCCCCTACTTCATTATGGAATCCGGAGTACTATGCGCGAAGTCCGCCGACCCTGTCGGCATGTGGGGGGGGCTTGTCTGTTCGAGTCGTCGTCTCCGTCAATCGTCTTCTCTCTCGTCCCCTTTCCCTGCGCCCTTCTCCTCAAGCATGTCAGTCTAGCAATGTCGTAATCGAACCGAGCCCCTTCTCTTTGATCCCCTCCCCGTTGGGGGGGGGGCGTCCCAGGGGGGGGGGTCACCAGGGGGGGTCCCAGGGAATGTCCGGGGTGGGTCCCAGGGAAGGGGGGGGGGGGGTCAGGTACGCGTTCCACCCTGGCGGTCCTGGAGCCTCAGGAGGCCACCGAGACGGTCCAAGAGGGCACCCAATCGCCAAACGATCGTTCCAAAACGCCTTCACGCCCTCCAGGCTGCGCAAGAGGCCTCCAAAAAACCCCAATGAGACCTCCAATGTCACTCCAGAGAGAGTCTCAAGAGGCAAAAATACTTTAGGTGCATTGAATGTTTGTGTAGGATTTGGGCGTTCTCGCCTTTTCCTGTTCCCGCTGCTCCAAGAAGGCTCAAGAGGCGCCCAAGATCGCCCCAAGACGGCCAAAGAGGCCTCCAAGAGGGCCCCACAACAGCCCAAGAGGACCCCAAGACAGCCCGAAACGCCTCCAAGACGGCGCAGAGCCCCCCCAGACGGCTCCAAGATCGTGCCCAGACTGGGGATCCGAACGGACATTTCGAGCCCTCGGCCCCGGGAGGCTCCCAGGAGGCCCAAAGAGGCTCCCAAGAGGCCCCAAGAGGCCCCAAGAGGCCCAGAAGAGGTCAAGAGGTCTCAAGGAATCCCGAAGATGCCCCCAACAGGCCCCCAAGAGGCCCCCAAGAGGCTCCCAAGAGATCCCAAGAAGCATCCCTGAGGACTCTGGACCACGTCAGCGTCGTCGTCGTCGCCGCCGCCGCCGTTGTCGTCGTCGTCGTCGTCGTCCCCCTTCAGGGTCGGCGGCACCGGCCGGAAGGCCTTCGCATTAGGAGGAGGAGGAGGAGGAGGAGGAGGAGGAGGAGGAGGAGGAGGAAGATGAGGAGGAGGGGTAGGAGGAGAAGGAGGAGGGAGAGAAGGAAGGTTAGTTAAACCCATGCGGAGTGGCGACGCTGCTGCCAGCCTGCGTAATCGGAGGGGCGTGGCAAAACTTGCTGTTGTTGGCTTTCGGCAAGAGGAGACGCAGGATGGGACAGGATCGGGCCAGGCGAAAGGGGGGGGATGGCAAAAGGGGGGGTTTGAGAATCCGCTCACGCATAGCTGATTGTTTCCCGGCGCCTCCTGGCGACGGAGGCGGTCATGTGTCGAAGAATGGGCCCCTCGGTGGGGCCGAAACCAGCTGCATGCAGCAGATTTCGTAACCCCCCCTTTACCAATCCCCCGCTCTCGTCCGACCCGATCAACGCTTCGCGCATTCCCACAGCCCACCCAGACACGATCGGAGGCTCGGCCTCTTGGAGGCTATCGTGAGCCATGTTCGGCCAGAGGCTGTCGGAGCCTATCCTGAGCCGTGCTCAGCTATCTCAGACCGTCTTGTGGCTCTCTTGAGGCCTCTTGGAGGTGTGTCGGAGGCTATTTCGGGCAATTCTCTTGGAGGTCGGTCGGGAGCATCTTGGGGGACCCGACAGGAGAAAGGGGAGGCGGAGGATGCCCGCGTGCCGCGTTCCGGAGGTGCAGCGGAGGAGGGCTCCACGCCTCGAAGACGGCGGGGGTGACGACGAACCGACGACGATGACGACGACGACGATGACGACGAACCGACGACGACGACGACGATGACGACGACGACGACGATGACGACGACTGCACCAGCGAGCCTGCGCAGCGGGAGCGCACGCCGAACCTGGGGTCAGAGCGGAGCTCCAGGAGCCCCAAAGGGCATGACCACCGAACAGGAAGCTGAGCCCCCAGGGCGGCGTAAGAACTGGTTGCTCCGATGCCGCCCGTGGCGCGCTCTGCGCACAAGGGAGGAGGGTCCCAGCGCCGGTCCAAGAAACCCGCGCGGGCCTTCGACATTACACTTGTATGTCATTGCTGACTCGTCTTCTTCGAGCGAGAAAAACAACAAAAAAACGCAGGCCAAGATGAGACAAGGAAGAAGTGGAAGAGGAGGATATCTCTGGACGTCCCCGGAAGGTCTCTGCAGGATGTCTCCGCGGACGTCTTCGAGAACCTCTGACGGACTCATCTCCTCTGGAGTTCCCCGCCAGAGGTCTCCAGACGTCCCCAGAAGCACCTCTGGGAGGCTTCGGAGCAGGTGCTGGTCGCGGTTCTGGACGACGTGTGGGATTACGCGCCCCCAGTGGGGAGGAGGAGGAGGAGGAGGAGGAGGAGGAGGAGGAGGAGGAGGAGGAGGAGAGAGGAGGAGGAGGAGAGAGGAGGAGGAGGAGGAGGAGGAGGGGGAGGAGGAGGAGGAGGAGGAGGAGGAGGAGGAGCAGGAGGAGCAGGAGGAGCAGGAGGAGGGAGGAGGGAGGCCGCATCGCGTGGTGTCGGCCTACCACTCGCCGCGCAGACGTGTGGGAACTGGCGTCGGCGAAGCTCCATGAGTACTGTTACACCCTGCGAAATGCTTAAGAAATCATGGTTTAAGAAATTCATAGTCTCAGAACTTGAATAAAACCCAGCACTTCGATCAAACTCTTGGGATTTACATTGAAAAGTTAAGAATAATCGAGACTCTGGACGAAAACTTAGGTTTTCTGAAGCATCGCCTAGGGTGTAGATGTGGCCTCAGAAGGTGGGTGTTGTGAAGGCCAAGGCCCGCCCTACCCATGACCAGAAAGGAATGCAACAGTCCAGGTGTCGGCTGCACAATTTTCAGAGGATAATTGATATGAAGCTCCAGGATGGATCCAAGAGAGCCTCAAGAGGGCCCTGGAGAGATCCCAGATGACTGCAAGAGCGCCCACGAGCTCCCCAAGAGAGCCCTAATAGGGCCCGAAAAGGCGATGTTTCGGGCTCCGACGGGAGGAGAAATAACCGCCACCTCCTTCTTTGTTCGATGTCCTGCTAGATGGCCCAAAGATTGCCCCCAGGGGTCCCAACGAGGGTCCCGGGAGTGCCACACAAGGGCCCCGACGATCCCAACATGGTGACCATGCCATGGTCCTGCAAGGGGTCCAAGATGACTCCAAATTGCCTGCCAAAGACTACCAACGAGCAAGATCCGCGAACGCCTAGATGGTTGAGCCAGTGTCGTCGTCATCGTCGCCATCTGCCTCCATCCTCTTCCTACATCGTCCCTCTTCTCACCCTACTAGCACCAGCCTTTCATGGCAGAGGTGGTTGAGAGCGTTTCCTCTTCTAACCCCCCTTCTTCCCCTCCCCCTACCCCCTGCCCTGGACCTGGACATCAAAGAATGCCTCGACGACCAACTGGACCGGGACGTGGACCTGGACACGAACCTGGACGTCCTGCACCTGGACGACCTGGACCTGGACCTGGGTTGACCGACTGGAGCGTCCAAGAAGGCCTCGGCGAGCAGGCGCGAGTCATTGGCCTCGGGGGGAAGAGGCTAATTGACCACGCCCTCCTTGGAGGATCTAACTTTCAGTCGGGCGTGTCCCCCTACACGGGGATTTGAAAAATTAAAAATACCAAACAAATACTTCAACATGGACAAAAAAATGCTCAAAAATTATCCCCAGACTATTTATTGACTATGTTTGAAGATTCTCCCTGTAGAGGGACAGGCCCGTCTTAAAACTAATTGACCGCGCCCTCCTTGAATCTAACTCCTACAGGACGGCCCCAAGACGGACCTCGAGGTGCCCCAAGAGGGCGCCTGTGGCCAATGGCATCGGAGGCTAGCTCGCGTGGAGAAGCGTGTCTCGATCTGCACCCTCGCGTGGAACACGCCTGCTATGGCCCCGCGCAGACCGCCCATTCACTCCTGCGTGCGAACGGGCGTGGAGCTTGAATGCACCTCCGCGCAATTCACATGCACACACACACACCGATTACGTATTTGCCCTCTCCCCGGTTGGGCCCACTGCCTTTGTGACAGTGCGCCCTCCCGCGGCGACGAGGTCCCCAGATCACACGGCGGCATCTAAATGAAGAAGTTCTTTCCAAAGCAACAACTAGTGGTTAAACAATGAAGATTAGGTATCAAAGTGCATATTCGTATCCGACAAGCGAAAATGTAATAAACATACCTTCTGATTGGGAACTTCGCTTGTATTTCTCACACTCAGTGTTTTATTCAGGGGGAACCTTCGTCAACCCATCGCAGCGTGGCCCTGGAAGAGGAATACGCACAGCGGCGGTCATTCTATCCGACGCCCAACTCGGTCGAACTGCAACGACGCCCAATCGCAACACCACCAGGGACTTGCAAGGGAAAAACAAGAAACTGGCAAAAAAAACAAGGTGCACCAGCTCCGGGTCAAGAGACGACCAGAAAATCAATGGGGCAAGATGCTTCTAAACTTTACAAGGCGGGGGCGGGGCATCGGATTCGACCGGTGAGCCCGGGAGGCCCGAAGAGGCCCCCAAGGGGTCCACAAGAGGCTCCAAGAGGCGCCCCCAAGAGACCCCCGAGAGGACTCAAGAGGCTCCCACGATGCACCCAAGCCGCTCCAAGAGGCCCCCAGGATCGCCAAAAGGGCCCCCAAAACGCCCAAGAGAACGCCAAGGAGCCTTGAAAAGACACCCGAAAACACTCCGAGAGGGATGC